ATATAGAGTTTCCTTGAAAAATCTTTTAAGCTGAAGCACTTAGTCAACCTAAATTAAATATTTTGAGAAATATTACATGCGAAGAAAAAAATGCAATTCGAACTCTGGCACTCCTTTCTATAAACTCAAAAAAATGTTATTTTCAAAAAATATGAAATTTTGTCTACTCTGACATTTAACTTTATACGTCGCATATATTATTTTGGGCCTGGGTAACACTATGTTGAGTTGCGCTTTTTAGTTGATGCCCTATATGAGTTGGTAAGTCATAATTCATCGCGCCTCACTGCGCCGTACCTCGCGGTAATGGCGCTTGTGGCGGAATAATTCTTTAAATCAGTAGTTTTAAAGTACATTTTTAATTAATTGAAATTTTGTTAGTTTCTATCATCGATCGGAAATTGAGCAACAGTTTAATTTCTAAGTGATTTTTTCGCGATTTTTTGTTTAGTCAATATTTTTACAAATACAAAATTAATTCCGTTATTAATTTTAGTTTTGGCGTTGTGCATTAATCACTGCAGCTGAGTGAAATTAAGATAAATATAAGTGGGTCTAAATTTAAAAACAAATTAGTTAAAGATCGACACTTTCCGAAAGAACGGAGCGTTTTTCGTTTAGTCGTTGTTGACTTTGGTTAAGTGGGAACGTGAAATTTGCCTTTGAAAATATTGCAATGCGAACAGGCCTTTTCTACAAAAATTCCAACAAAAGCAAACTGAAATCGAACCGCCAAGTAAAGCATTAATTAATTATCAAAAGGGCGAACAATAAAATTATTAAATAATCATGTTTGTTTTGTAGTTCAGTGTTTTTTTTCTCGAAAAAGTTATGAATGTTCAGTTTGCGAACGACATTGGGCGAAATTGGTCGATAATCGCATTCTTAGATGGCAAATATAGAATAATTGTGACCCTTATGGCAAGTGCGGTAGTTTGTAAAAGTGTAGTGAACTTGAGGATTAATCGGTAGAAAATGGAGGATTTGACGCCAGCTTGCAAAAAGCTGGTAAGAATGATCTCTAATCTAGAATTCTTTTAGCATGAACTGAGTTTAGTTTTCCGACAAGCAACTGAAGTTTTATTAATTCTTTAAATTTCTCTCTCTTTGCTTTGCTGATTTCAAAAAAATTTGACTTTGGACCGATTTCCAGCTGTACTAAACAAATTTTCTTTTTTCTTTCTAGGAGGCACTACGCAGTTTATCAATACTTTGCCCCTGGTTGCCATGTACATGTAGAACTTTTAGTCTCATATTCATCAACTGACTCGTAGGGTGGACTTGGAATTGATTGAGCTACTGGTTCTTTCGGATTTAAAATTTAAACTTTGGGAATATTTTGGGCGGTTTTGTATTTTTTATATCAAGCTCATCTAAAGTTTTTCGCTAAAAAATCGCTTCAGATATGGAAATTTGGGTTCCAGTATTCAATACAAGAAGCATCGACTTACTGATAGTGTGGATTTGGTTCCGATTGACCATTGACTCCTTCACAAAAAAAATTTCAACTTTGGCATAATTTTGGGCGGCTTTGTATTTTTACACGAAGTTCGTCTGAAGCTTGTTTCCAAAGAACCGTTTCGGATATGCAAATATGGCTTCCAGTTTTATGCTTTTTTTTCGTTAAAAAAATCAAGAGTTTGCCTGTTTTTTGGTTAAAGTACGAAATCGACTGAAATATGACCTTTTTGACGCCACCTTTTTTGACGTTGCTCAGGAACCATTTGAGCTATAGAGCTCGTTTTTATATCATTGGATAGAGAATTGGTAACTTGATTCAGTTACAACGCGCGTGATTAAACTGCTGGATTTGTCACAAAAATCACCCGAAATTTGAATAGCAGACGTTTAGTTGCAAGCGTACGCCAAAATTTAATTAAAAAGAATCCTCCTACATAATTTCAATCTTTGAAGTTTCTACTAGCTTTAATTTGCAAGTTGGAATTTGTTAATGAAGAGTAGTAGTTGCGTGAAGGCGTTCATTTTCAAGTCAACATTTACGAAGCGCACAAAATGTGTTCTCGTAACAAATGGTCGACTGTAACGCAACTGCACAGGTGAGTGGCTGTGCCGGGGCGTTGGGTTGGCGCACCAAGCCATTTCGGCATCACTGCGTCAACTCCGGAAAATTCACTGAGTTACCCATGCCTACATTGCTTTTATTTTTATTTTTGAAGAGGTTTAACATTTTTACAAATCTTATTAAACTAGCTAGATCCACTGGTTTCAGTACAATTGAGTTTTAACTTTCTAATATCTGATATTGCTTAATTTGCGAATTTGGTTGAGGCTAAATTATTAACATATTAGAAACTTTAATTTATTGACGATTTGCGTCTCGTGACTCACAAATTTTCCTGATAAATGCACTTCATTATTTCTATTAGTCTGGATATTTCATCACACTTTTTAATTTCATCTTTGCAGAAATTCGAACTCAGTTAATTTAATCTGTTTTTTTTTGTTCCCATTTATTTAATACTTTATTTATTTTCTGACTTGTTCCACATATGTATTTGGTTTTATCGCGTTTTCGATCTTTATTTCTCAGAAAATTTGTCTATAAAATTCCTATGTAGGTACTGTAAAAATACACGATGATTTAGGAAAAAATCGAAATATTTTAAGATATGTCTAGAAAGTCAGACTAAGCAACCTATGTTCATGGTCGATTTTTATCTTATTCAGATACATTCATTGATTGTTGTTCAAAAACCTAGAAAAACATTTTTGAAGCCGGATAACAAATAAAACAATAAGGTAACTTTGATGACCCTCTCCCGAGTTACAATTTAAAACACAAGTTATTGAGAACTTTATAGGATTCTCAAAATGCCTCATATAATGATTTTTGCAATGGTAATACTATTTGTGCAATATCGACTTTTGCAACACTAGGACATCAAGGTTTGCACTTCTTCATGCGCGGGAAGGATAAAGTTTTACTAACTTTCTTAAGCAGACAGAGAATGAAAATGAAAAACTCGAATAAATTTGCTATTGAAATCAGAAATTGTTTCAAACTCAGTAATAAATGACAAATGATATTAAAAACGCAAACAGAACCATTTTCACTGTAAATAAAGCCAATTTTTCAACTATATGCTCATGACTCATTCCGATCGAAAATAAACGGACGTGATTCCCAAGTTTAGTTTTGCTTTCATTCTCGTTATCATGTTTATGCGTCTTGTTTCAAATGAAACAATCCCCCAATTTGCATACCGACCTTAAATCAAAACTTAAAAACTTCATTCAACACAACTATGTTTTTAGTAAATGTCGCGTCTCCCTCTTACTTCCTCTTTGTGCCATCTGGTTCATGTCCCTGTTCATTGGCTACCATAGACAAAGGAATGGTAATAAATTGTGTCTTATTATTGGGATCGCCTTGAGCAAGACTCAGTAACACTCCACCGTTGGATGGAGTGGCGTACATCATCCCCTGAGGTGTTTGGTACATAAGAGGACTGAGGATCGAACCTTGCGAAGTGGACACCGACGAAGTTTTAGTGGCTAATGATCTTGAAGGCGACGGTCTTTGTGTGCACTTGATTTCTATGGGTGATGATGGTGGCGAAATGGAGCTGAATACTTCATGGTCTGGAGTAACAAAAACTGAGAGTGGTTCTTGATCGTGTCCGTTCATTTCGTCATCGCTGCAACTGTCACTGCTGTCTGCACCGGACACGTTTCCAGTCTGGAAAGGAAAATACAACTTTATGCTAATTTTCTTACTGGCATCTCCAGCAGTACAGCAAATAACCAAAGTACATAAATGAAACTTTTTGAAAATTGTTATAAAGGCTTTATCGGCAATCGGAGCTTACCAGGTTACTAGGCCGTTGTCGGTAGGAATTTGACTAGCTACTTTTCACTGGCCGACAAACCAGAATCTCCAGGAACATACTTTAGAAAAAAACCTTAGATAAATTTACTGAAGCCAATTTCAGAAAACGCTTTCTCTTTTCAAAGGAAATTGTGCAAAATGTTTTTATGCCATT